AATGAGTTATGCTAATGAGCTGCACCTCTTTTTCTAGGAAATGACCCCTGAATATTATTAATATCATTATATTGGACTTATGGATCTGCCAGTCCCTGCTGGTGCAGAGCTCTGGGGGATGTGCAGTCATAATAAAACATCAAATCATAAAATATTTAAATTGCATTAAATATTTAAATAACGTTACAACAACAATCTCAAAGACTCCGATGGTGAGTTCCAGTTATTTCCAGGTTTCAGTCTGCCAACCACTTTGTGGGTGGGGGAGGAAGGACAGGGGAGTGCCAGCCGAGATGGTAACTGTCACTGTCCCCAAACGTGGGAGCCGTGGTGCGCACCAAGTGATTTTCGGAAGTGGGTGGGATTAGGTGGAGCTTTTGCCCAGCAGGGCTTGTGAGGGGACATTGTAGACTTGATTAGCTATGCAGAGTTTTGTTTTTTAAATTGCTTTGGCGGCATCTGCTACCACAGCACAGGGCCGTCCCTATGTGGCTGAAGAAAAAACGTGGCAGCCATCTTGTGGCTGGCCCCGCCTCCCGTGGCACCCACTACGCTATGTCAGAATTCCAAAGGTGCCCGCGGGGTCGAAAAGGTTGGGATCCTTGGTCTATGGCATTCACAGAATCATAGAGTCGGAAGGGACCTCCAGGGTCATCTAGTCCAACCCCCTACACAGTGCAGGAAATTCGTGATTGCCTTCCCTCCACACCCCCAGTGACCCCTGCTCCATGCCTAGAAGAGGGGGGGAGAATATCCTCCACGATCCTTCGCCAAACTAGCCTGGAGAAAAATTGCTTCCTGACCCCAAAGTGGCGATCGACATTTCCCTGGGCGTGTAAGAAAGGACCACAAGAACTAAGCACTGAGGCAACCTTTCCTGCCATCCCTTCTTGTGGTCTGCCCAAGCTCACAGAACTGTCAGATGGCCACCTAGCCTCTGTCTGAAAACCTTCCAAGGAGGAAAGCCCACCACCTCCCGAGAAAGCCTGTGCCACTGAGGAAGTCTCCATGAAGCTACTCCCTTGGCCTTCCCTCGGGTGGCAGGGGAAACCCTCCTCCTGGGCATTCCCTCTGCTCTTCCTGGTGCCCTACTGGCACTCCCCTATTATCGGCATTCGGTCCTCTGCACAATAAAGTGACTCAGACATTTTGGCACTCTACCTTTCCAGGGCTGTCCTGAGACCGCATACTTTCCCATTTCTCTTTCCCAGTAGGTTTCCGCACACAATTTTTTTAAAAAAAGAGATGACGATGAAGGAAGGAAAGCAAATTATATCGCCCACGCCAAAAAAGCAAATGCGATCCTTTGGAGCGCTAGTTTTGATCTACGGCAGCCCTTTCGTTCCATTAAGCAGTTGGCCGCTCTTTGAGACCTGCCCGCCCCAGGAACATCGAGCACTTTGCAATAACGGCCGTTAATAAAATATTGTCGGGGACGCAGGGCCATCTTGGCTGCAAACGGAGCCAAATTTAGAACGCAATCTGTCTAATGGGATACGGTAGACAGATGAGGTCGAACCAAGGGCTTGTACGTCCCTGTTTTCCCCACCATTTGCTCCGGAGGGGGACCCTCGCGCTGGGGCAGAGCGCAAACTTTGCCTGTAGAACATTGGATGACACACGCCCAGAGTTCCTTGGAGGGTGGGGGTGATGGGAAGGGACCGATAAACGACAACGGGTTTCATTTGGGTGGGTCTGAGTTCACTGATGGTGGAGGGGCCCGAAAGGATTACTGTCCTTCTCCCAAAGACAAGACAAATCTGGGTGAACGGCAGAGGTGCACTTCAGAATCTCTGGGGGGCTGCCAGCGAAATTGACAAGCTGTGGGATTCAGGATAAGGGAAAGAAGGCATGATTAAGAACATAAGAACATAAGAACATAGTAAAGGTAAAGGTTCCCTTGCTCGAAAGCCAGTCGAGTCCGACTCTAGGGTTGCGGTGCTCATCTCCGTTTCAAAGCCGAAGAGCCAGCACTGTCCGAAGACGTTTCCGTGGTCATGTGGCCGGCATGACTAAACACCAAGGTGCACGGAACGCTGTTATGATGGTGATAGTGATGGGCATTAAGCTGGTGGTGGTGGGAAGTGGGGAGTGGCTGTCAAATCACAGCTGGCTTCTGGTCTGCCATGGCCTGCCTCCGTATCAGGACCTGGTTTTCCTTGGAGGTCTCCCATCCAAATACTAGCCAGGGCCGACCCTGCTTAGCTTCCAAGAGCTGATGAGATCGGGCCAGCCTGGGCCATCCAGGACTACATAATGGAGACAAAATGACAGGGGAGTCTCCCCCCCCCCCATTTCCA